TGACATTATTTCGAGTCTCTAAGGGCTGGATGAATTCTATATGCTTCAACCCTCGAGTAATGGTGCAAAATATCTTCATGAAACGCAAGGAAAGCGTATGGGAAGTATACGTAAAATACGTACATAATCTTTCTTTTATGCGGCATTCTTTAAGGAATTAATAATAAATAAAGAATTTTAAGTAAAATGAGATATTGAATTATTCTGAATAAGAAGATAAGCTAAACGCATTGAAATTAGTAAAGTTAGTATTCAAAGCAGAGTGAATAAATTAAGTCTATACAAATTACATATAATGCATATATAAATGTTTCAAATGATTCGATATATAGGTACCTAGGAATGAAATGAATGATCAAAAGACCATTCGATTTATTTTAAGCCTATTCACCCCAAAGGAGTGTGTTTTATGGTAACGTCCTTCCCTATAGGTTTTATAGGTTACGAGAACTTCAAATTGAGAGTCACTGACGTAAATATAGGTTCAGGGGTGAAAACAGGGTGCGCATTCCAAAGCCTTGGATCTAGGTATCCTCGCGCATTCATTCATAAAAATTCACTCAACCGCGTGGTTACTCCCACCGAGAGAATTGGAGGGTTCGTTCCAACCCCGATCAGTATGACAGCTCGACAAAGTTAAAGGGTACTGTGCCTCGTCTTTTTAACTCTCCTTCAGAGCAAGTGATTGCTAATGCCATCTTGACTATATGTATAGAAATATTCATGTCAATTCTTTTCTATTAGAATTCTTTTAAAAAACGTCAGGCCTCGAATGAACGTGTTTCGAAAAAAAGCGCATTTCCTAAATGATAATATCACTATCAATGCGATTGACAAAATGTACTTTGCTGTATTACATTTCAGAGTACAATTTATCAATGAAGTCAGAAGAATAATATCTTTTAATTAGCTTAAAGTTATAGCAAGGTTAATGATTAAAAATTATATTTCAAGTAACAGAATTATAAATCACGCTAATTTATAGCGTCAATAACACTGAGTATTCTGTATATTGAAATAAAGACATTACAAAAATTCTTGTAAGAATATTACCCCTAGACTGTAATCGTTCTCCTTTAAAAAGAATGACTGCTCATAATCGTAATCGTAACCATAACGATCCCGACATTTCAGACGGAGCAGATTTCACCATTAATATTCCAGCAGCGTACAGATAATTACCCGAAAGTTTTCGCCTCACGATGTTAATAAAGAAATTACCAGTAATATTGAAATGTCAGTCGCCCTTTATTTTTCCCACTGTCGTCGTCGTGTCGCGTGGAAGATATGAAAACAGAGAAGTCATGCCTTAACTCTCATGATAATAGTTCGAGTGCATTAGAGTCGGTCTAGGTAACTTTGAAACGATGTTTACTTCTAGGGAAGCCTAAAATATGATTCCTGAAATTGATTCTTACGCGTTTACGGTTCTATATTGGAATACCAAAACATTATTGAAATAATTCCGTACGTCTTCAGGTGACAGAAAAAATGTTGCATATGCTGTACAAACAATTTTTGTCCACCTTGTGATAAAAATAATTATAAAGATGTAATTTACTGATTGCTGATTAACTTAAAAACGTTATCGACAGATGAATGTAGAAATATTGTTTGAAAATATACCTCTCAATGTTTCATATATTTTTGTAACGTGTAGTGATCACATGTAAAAATAATTATATTATTTATTTATTAAACGGCTATCATTATTATAATTTATTTAATAAATCTGTATTCAGGAGTCACAAGCAGCCAACCCCCTCATGGAAGATAGCGACACCACTGGCGCCCTCTATAGTCGTTTTCTTCAAATTCGAAACGACGCTCCATTTTTATTGATTTTTTTAAATCTGTTCATTTCAATCCTTTTTCTTACAGGAAACAGTTTGTTAAATAAATAGCATCTGAAAAGTATATTAGTGCAAACTCTAGCACTTTAATATTTCATCACTGAACATGATTATATAATGATCCTAAATAATGTAACACTTAAAACTTAAAAAATTCCATCTTAAAAGCCTTACACTGCTTATTACGAAATAATAGAATAATTATTTTCAGGTCAAAAGCAAATAAGAAATTTTTCGCTGTCGATTCGATCTTACATTGACTTTATCTTATTCACGGTCCCACGAAACCCCTTGGCCTCCTTCCGTTATGCGCGCCGTTGGCTAAATAGCTAACTTCGCACAACTATCTCAATAGATTATGATTATTGTGGAGGAAAGCTCTGATTTATGCAATTATCATAAATTCAGTTCCGCCTACCACCTTGCGTATGCTCAAGACGCTCCAACTATATCCCATTCATAGGATTTCAATAGCAAATTATTTCCTCGTAAAGTATGTGCATTCGCCTGCATGAATGATTATTCAGAAAATTTAAATAAACGCAACATCTATGAAATGTATTGTCTTTTTATCCTACTGAGAGTATTATCATAGCAAAAATATATATTTCTATAATTTTAAAAACCTAAAAACTTTTTTTATTGTTAAAAAACATTAAAAGTTGCAATTTGTGAACAATATGACGATTAAGAACTTTTAACCGTTCATTATCCCCTTTTATAAATATTATATAGAGTGTACTGCTAAGGAAGAACTGTGTAAGCCTTGGGTGATTCTATATGTGTAAGTTTTCATTAAAAATTTATTGAAATATTACTATGACATGCAAACATATTATTAATGTATTTATCGATAAGTTTAAAACATGAAAATATTTTAAATTTTTATGTATAATAACATTTTTCAAATCGAACATTAATCGATAATTTAAGGCGCTTATCATCTGGTTTAAATCAACATTTGCGCAAATAAGTTACAATTTGTCGATAACAGTTTGTCCCATTCAGTAATCTACCTTACCGATAGATGTGACCTTGACTTTGTCGGTACGAAGCACCACTAAAGATGCATTTGCTGAAACCATCCCTAGATGAGGTATCCGTCTATGAGCTATCGTTGATAACAATGTACCCATAGTACTGTCGGTAATAACTTCTCCCAAATTTTTAAAATACTTAATAAAAACTTCTTTTTTCGTTTATTGTACTTATTCAATTGAATCTGAAAATATGTGAAACGTGTATGTTCCTTTCAGTATAGTGAAATATTTGATTATCGACCGAGTATCTGATCAGAGAGTGTCTGACTAAAGCAACATTTACTACTGACTGATAATATTCTACTCTTTACCTTCCATGAGATACATTGATATAAATACAATTGCATGTATTAATGAACAGTCAACATTGTACAACAATTTTTCATAGTACTGGAAGTAGTCAAAGAATAAGCCTAATAAAAATACTTAACTTTTCCAATGATACTGTTTCGAAATAAAAATTATTACTCTTTTAGAAGGTTGATTTCTTGGAGTAGCATTAGCACAAGTGGCTTTTAACAGAGCGACCTATCACATCGTCGAATTTAAGCATCGAACGTACGAACCATTTTATACGGTTAGAGAAAATTCCTTTCCTCTCCAATTACGCGGTTCAAACTTTGGAAACTTCGTCGACGAATCTCGGTGGGAAAAGGTTTGAAACTCCTCGAGAAACTTTAAAAATCGTTATTTTGCAGGGAAGCCGAAGCCTCCCCTACCGAGTTACGTGAATCCCTCCTTCATGACTCCCTGCCGGATAAAATGGAACGAAAAAGAAACAAAAGAGTAATCATACAGCTGCAAGGAAAACTTTTTCGATCAGCCAAAATAGATATTCTCCAACGTATTTAGAGTTATGTAAAATAATTTCCTACTTTGGCATACAAGTTCCAAGCCCTATTTGTCTCAGGATAAAGAAAGTAAACTTAATTTAATAATTTATAATTGTAATTTAATAATTGAAAAATTCGTTATAAACATTAAAATAATATTTACGATAAAACAACTGTTCGATATTCAATACCGCAACATGGTAAATATATTTTACAAGTTAAATTATGTATACCGAAATAAAATTATTTAAAAAACATTCTATATTTCTATAATTATGATATATTATATAGTGAAAATAAGATAAAAAATTATCTACTTCGTTGTTGCGGATTCGAGCTTACGTAGACATTTATACGAGCAATAATAAAGTGCCGAATGATCGATAAAAAACCTCCACGATAAAATAAAACGTCAGCGCTTTACGCGGTTACAAGAGTTCCACTTTACGTTTCTTGTCAATCCCATTTTTTCTGCGAACAAAAGTTATTTAATCTCCTCGTTCATTCTACGAGCGAACGCAACATTATAGATAATTAAAAATTAACTCGTAGCAATGAGGAACGAATTATTCAATTTGGCAGCTTTGAATATTTGATTTCATTAAATTATTGTTATTATGGTAAGATGGGCTGGAATATTATTACAATAAGACTCTCATCATTAGACATTATTTACAAAAGAAGAAACAGAAATATACTTCACGTTTCTTAGAAAGGAGATAAAAGTTTAACTTTAAGAAATTGTGTGAAATGTCACACTTTTAATTAGAAATAATTTGGAAGGAATTAATGGAAAACTAACTTCGTGTTAAACAGCTAATTTTATACTTGTTACGACCAATCAGAAAAATTTCAGAAGTAACTTCAGACGAAGATGTTCGTGTCTTTGTCATTAAACTTATAAACTTCATTACTTATACTTTTACGAAACGATTATGGCACAAATGATTTGTAGAATTTTAATTACAAGTTTCATAAAGAAGAGCGCTTACACCTCGTGAAAACGTTCTCAACGTCAGAAAGGCTATGAAAATGATCTGCTATTTCTTAATACTTAAATAGTGGAAGTAATTAATTTTATATTTAATTATGTTTCAGAGCCTTGTTAAAAGGCGTTGTGAATTTTTAACATAGGTTCAATTTTAATTTCACGATTCTTCAAAGGATTGTTAACGCGACGTAAAGACAAGATAGAAGAAAGTAATTGGTCTTTATGTTCCTGTAAATTGAATGACAACAAAAGATTTTTGATAACTTATTCATGCTTCACTTACCTTTTTCGGCGAGGGATGCAGCACAGTTACCGGGACCTGTCGGGGGGTTGGAATGAGTGGCGTTTGGGTTGACTCCTTCACAGAATATAACGGCAATTTTGTCTCTCTGTTGCTTGGCAGCTCTAGTAAGTGCTGTATAGAATGGTTTTGTCTCGTCTTCTTTGACGCCATTCTATCACAAAAAAAACAAACTATTAACGTCGCTATTAGTACTCGATATTTAATACAACGTTAAGTGGTAGCTATCTGATGAATTAGTAAACAGCACATCAATTGCTAATAACACAATTATGGTATGAATTATTTGTTATATTAATTGCATAACGATATTTATGGTTGGTTTCAATAATGAATAATGAAGAGACGTCGAAGAGTATTCGTTACGATTCTTGTGAATCTGCTCGATAATAAATTTCAATGTTTGTTATTTGTATTAAAAAATTTCCGGCTATATGATTAATCCATATCGCGCAGCATGTGTATAAATACGAATAAAATTTCCAAAATATTCTACGTAACATTTTCATTATGCTGAACGATATAGGCATATATTATAAACCTTATGATTATCGAGGATATCCAAATCTCGACGTAACGGTGTGCGTAGATCCCTTTTTCCAGCAGCGTCGTGAAACTGGATATCGGATAAAACTTTCGCATTTAACTTTTCCGTCCTGTAGGGGAAACGGCCAACAAAGCTCATCACCGGAAACTTTTCCGAGACAAAGAGGAACGAACGGGAGCCAAGCGAGATAGAAGATGACGCGCGCCGCGACGCTGACCACGATATAAACCTACACTCTGCATCACCGTCTCTGTACCAACGTTTACACCCGTGATCGTGTCCCAACTATCCATATACAGATGTCTGCATTCTTTGTTATTATAATTTTCAAACGTAAATGTTGGACCAACAGAATGAATATTAAACTTGTACGAGTAGTCATATCAAATTTAAATCTTTCATCACTACGTAGAACAAAGAAAGCGGATAAGAAATATGGTAATTACTAGGTATAAGATAGTAATAGTGACAAAACAAACGAAAGAAGCGGAACCGCTTGTAATTTGTAAGGAAAACAATAAAGATATTATCTATCTACCGCTACATAGAACAATACACATTATCCCTGTGCTTTTCTCCTCTCATATAATGAATGACGTGACAGAATTAAGTAAAGAACATTTATAAAACAAGATCATATTAGAAAGTAATATAAAATTCCAAATTAAAGCAAACAAAAAACAAATCCTTTTTCTCTCACTTTAAAAATCATTCTATACACTTATCCGGGACGACTGAATAATCTGAACAAAAGTATTCACGGACAAAAGGTAAAAAATTTTTGTTGCAGAACTTGAAACTTATTTTCCAGCAGACGCTCTTAAATCACTTCAGCGAACGACTTACTTTTGTCATCATCGTAAGCAGTTTTCAAATTACAAACACTCAAAGAAAAGAATATAGCTTCCTCGTTGCGCGAAGCGTGGAACGCTAGCAAAAAGTAATGCCTTTAAATGGCTCAAACTGAAATGACATCGCGGCGAGCGTGTGCATGTGCGTTTAAAGTTGACTGCACGTGCTGGTGGAGAATCGCTCGGTGCGCACAACGGTGGGGTAACTCACCCCCGAAGCCGCCGCGAAAGTTTGTTCTCTTGTGTGTTTACGCACGCGCCAGATCGTGCACACACGTTCGACCAAGTACACTTATAGCAATGCACGATGTCGGCGAGCAATACGACCGTGACCTTACCGACTGAACTGCAATCGAAAAACTGGAGGGAGTGTTGAAAGCAATTAGATTCATTACGATTATCTATTATCTGGATTCGATGCAAACTCGAAAATAACAATATTCGTGTCTGTTACAGAACAATTTAGAACGTACTACTGTGATATTTTCTATTAAACTGCTGTAGAATTAAATTTAAAATAACCTTGCCTTTTATATTTCATGTCATGTTAAATACTTTGATGTGGATAACAATTCATTGTTGTTAAAAAGATGTGTTATAAATTTGCTTAGATATAATTCAGTAAAGAAACAAAATCCTTATTCTACCATAACCCATTCTACCATTGTCCGCAGTGTTTGTACAGAGTGTCACATACATCCTACCGCAGTAAACAAGGGTAACTCTCATGAGACGTTTAACTAATATGAAGCAACTTTATTATCGTTCGAAAAAATACATTCAGTATCCTATGATGATTTCATGCGTAACATTATAGTTTTTTTATATAAGTCGATACCAAAAAGCACATACAAAGTGGAATATGAAGTTACTTCAGTTAATAGATTACAATGATTACTTCACGAACTAAAATAATTTTGATTCCAGTATACATTTTAATTCAATTACCTGGAAGCCAATATATTATATACACATAGCAAGCAAAATGTCTATCTGTACACTTTGTACAGTGCGGAAATGAAATAGGTATTGATTCTTGTAATTTCAATACTGATATTTCGAAGCAAAGTATACGTGATCATTTTTGTGCGAGGAAGTTCGCGTTTCCTTATTTGCAAAAAGTTCAAACTTAGCAGCTGCACAAATAATTAATTCGATAACTTCTCTAGCGATGTTTAAATACATTGTATGTAGTTATTGCGACAAATTACTTAAATATAAAAGCTGCAAATCCATTTTAATTACAGCCCAACTTTTGTATACTACTAACAGAAAAAGGGCATAACAATATTCTCAACAATTCTTTATCAGATCAAGCGATAATACAACAACTTTCAATTGTACAACTTTAAAAACGCTATAGTACCGCTTCATTTCAGAGACCACTCTGTTTATTAGATTTATGAAGGTATAATTTTAATTACAAAAATAAAACCTTTAAGAAGAGTTAATTAAAACCAGCAATGAATGTCTTAGGATATGGCAAGATAAAATACATCATGAAATTCTAACTAATCTTGAGAAGATCATACGAAACAAATATTCTTCGTATCTTTTCACCAAATGTATATTATCAACGACATAAATATACCATTAATTCCTTTTCATTTTTCAGGCGTTTTACACAGTGTGAATATTGTAGTATTTAGATGAAAATTAATTTAAACATTCATATACCAGTAAACTGAGTTTTCAATTTAGTTTAATATTAAAATAAAAATATAGATATCAAATATACAAAATTTTATTTAAAATATATGTTTTTATACGTAAATTTAGTGAAGAAACGAACGTAATATACACACATATTTCTATGAGTATTTTAATAAAAGTATCTTTATGACTAAATGCCTGGATAAAATAATTAAAACATTTTAATATTGCAAAATATTTTGCGCCGGTATTTTTTATATTACTCATTGCCAGCCCTTTAAAAATAACATTTATGTCCTACAGTTCACCAATTCGGATTTAATTGTTCCCTTTCACTTGCCACGTTCTATTACATAACATTATGTCAAATGTTTCATGATATTAACCTAATATTAAAACTGTTTCTTATTAAAAATAATAAGTGTAAATCAATATTATATTTTTGAAAGTCTAGACACCCGTCACATATTTATTACATAAAAATACACCATGAATGTGAAGCTAAGTAAATTTACTACAAACTACATAGCGAAATAAATTTTGAGCGGAACGGCAAGAACCCCATCCCCTTAACCGTTCTTCTCTATTTCCTTTCGATCAATCTACAGTAGACGTATGTATACTGTATGTTACTATTAAACTTCTTTGAAGTTTGCTTATATTGAAATACCAGAATTAAAGAAAAGATTATTGATTTCAACAAACACATTTAATTCGCATGTCTACCACGTGTAACTTTAAAGCGATATCAACGTTATATTCCTTACTGTTTTATTTTTTGCTAATAATCGATATGACTTGATTATATGTATAATGCAACAACTTGTATACAACACCCGCTTTATTTTATTTTCGGCAAATAATTTCGTTACGTCGTTCTTCTGTTTCAAAATGATGTAATAATATGTAACATAAAACTACACGTATTTCATAAATAATAAAATTAATATCAACATCAGTTATCCCCTCTTTCGTATACATATATGCGAATAGATGCACGTTATATATATATATATATATATATATATATATATTCATCTGTATGAATTCTGTCAATTTGTCACGTTCCAATGTATATGTGTATACATATATATGTGACAAATTGAAGGAATTCATACAGATTTACAATTTGACCTATCAAACGATTCTCTAAACTTTTCTGAAAATCAATAAAAAATATAGGTCATAGGAAATTAATGATGCCGTAGATACCAGTTGAAAAGCTATACAATTGCTTCGAAATTACGTGAAAGTGAAGTATTTTACAATATTGGCTAAAGCGTTAACGATTCGATTCGAATGACTTGTATCTCTTGCCACGATAGTGTGCTCTTTCCGCTTTCATTCTTCGCAATTGCAATATAACAGATAAACGATTGTGCACAGGTTATTAATCCGAATTTTTGTTTGATTGATGTGTTGGACGTATGAATTTAAATGATAGAGCTAGCATTATCATATTAACAATTTAGAAATCACCTAATAAAATAAGATTAAGATCACATCAATATTTTACTATTCGTTTATAAATTCATAATATGTACATAGATAAATCTTGTAATAATTTTTTCAACGCGATAAAATCTTTCCTGTATTCTGAATTAAATAATCGTTATTCGCACCGGTTTGAATAATCATTAAACAAGTATATATGTATATTGATTACTATTACATAATTATATTCATATCCTAATTCACGACACGGATTCCATATAGAAAAGAACCTTTATTACGTACGATTGAGATAATAATTAAATGAACGTGATCGTATCGATATTAGATGACACAGCGATAGAAAGGAGGGAAGAAAGCACCGAACGGTGGAAGAGAAATGAAAAGAAAGAAGAAGAAAAAGAAGAGAAAGAAGTAGAAGAAGAAGAAGAAGAGGGAGGTGGCGGAAGGTACGTATTTCAGTCATCCGGCCAACTTTTGCAAGTTTAATGCCCGAGCGCTCGAGTAATTTAACACGACGAAATTAACTTTTCAGTTTTACCAAAGTTTCCTGGCAACTTAACCACGTTTCCGCGTCTCTTTCCATCGTATCGCGCGTTCTCGCTTCTTCTGGCTTCTTCTTCGCCCACTCTCCCGGTACCAACACGAACACCTAAGACCAACTTTTAAAGCGCTCACCGTGGTAACAACTGCGTGGCTTAGCGCGAGCTCTACTCAACTATAATTCCACCCTTAAGACTCCAAGTTTACGACGTAAACTTCCTCCTTACCGTCGGCGTCGGGCCACGCTGATGCCGATACTTCGATTTTGGCAACGAGAAAAACAGAGGTGGTCGACAGGAAGGAAATAGAACTATGGCAACGGTGGACCGAACCGATATCGGAGATTTGTACGCGAAAACAATTGGATCACTCCGCAAAGAAAATTCTCAGCAGCGTGGCAGTTATCAGAGACCTTCCGAAACGCGTATCTGAAAATCATGTAATCTGTCCACGCTTTTTTGTCGGATAATACCGCGATCGAAGATGATAAGCGTGTTGCAATATTTTGCTACAGCGAGATTGTGTATTTGGAATCCGGAAATCTTCTCCAAGAGCAGAACGTATTTTTTCCGTATGAAAGCTTTACAGAAATGTAATTCGGATATTCTCGATATAAAATTTATTTTTTCCTTGTTTCTAAGAAAGGACATTCATAATCGTTCTTTCTAACCCTTTAATATTTAGATATTTGGTTTGCAAATGTATAACGCAAATATTCAGCAAAGAATTAATATAATTTTCATTCATATAAAATTCTAATTTCGAAATTTTTTAAATTTTACCTCATGGAAAAATTAACCGAGAGAAAGGAAATGCTTGTGCGCAGCTTTGCTTGGCTATTATACTCGCACGATTGGTTATCTGTTACTTCCCATTCATCTGTCCCGGCATCCGCAACTTCTCAACGATTTCAAGCCTTTTCGCCAAGAGTCAGCACGAAAACTACCGAACGGATACCGAGACTTGAAATATTGTATCCATTGCTCATTCTAAAACGCCAGTCTTTCCGGTAAACAAAGCTTTTAATGATTGAGTGCACATTCGACGCTTTCGCGTTTAAAATCGAACAAATGAGCGTGCCGTTCACCGTTATGACATTAAATACATTCAAAAGTTTCGAAACTGAATCTCTTTAAAATATCGATTTTATACGTAAATATTGAAGCGTGCCAAAATCACTTAAATTTGCGGTTGATCTCGTAAGAAAACGATCGTATCGATCAAATGACATGGTTTCAAGTTTCGTCACTATTATTTATTCGCTGAATTTTTGGTAAACGTGTCCTCGATATAAGAGTTTGGAAGAAGTCGAGGCATCAAATAAGTTTTACTATATACGAACTTTGACACAGGTCAGCAATTTCTTATCCAATTTTTATTTAGTATCAAAGTTACAGAAAAGCTATTCGCTACGAAGTTACGAATGGTATAAAATTATGTTTGGAAAACTTTTGCTTCGTTCTTTTTAAAAGATTTATATTTAGTATGTTACTCTTATGAAACAATGTACTGCTTTAAGAAATACTCGACTGTTCGTTTAAAACATTGTCAATTGGAATATATTTCTTTCAAAAATAATAAACTAAAAAATTCGTCATTAACGGTACCATTTTTAGGATATAATAAATTAAACAATTATGTTAGATGTAATAGATGCATTGTAGTTGCAGCTTGTTTTCTACAATGTTTGTTGTAAAAATACGTAGAAGCGTTGAAATTCACTCGTTTCAGTCAGTCAAAGTACGTTTCACTCGTTGGTAAATGAAACAAAGTAAACAGAAGAAAATTATAACGTTAAAAATTGCATTCGTACTTTATTCGCAAGAATGAAAAAAATATCAGACGTCAAAAATAAAAATTGTAACAAAAGTAATGGACGTTTCATTAGCTATAAAGATAAGTTTCATTTATCCCCATTAACATTTAGAATTGATATTTAATAAACGAAATCTAAGGAGGAAATAAAAATGATCGAAATATCTTTTTCGAGCCATAGTTGATGTTAAGAACAATTGCGAAAAGAAGAAGACTTATTACTTCCTTCATCCTTAGAGAAATACCCCCAAAATACTTCCTTAAAAACATTATCTCCTGATAAATGTACTCTAGCATATCTAAATAAACTTAATGAGTTCCTCCTTTGCGGTGTTGCCCATTGTTAATCTTAAAAGTATGGCACATTTACTCTTTTGGAACATCGAAGAAAGAATGCATCGCGGAAGGATACAAAGCAATGGGACTGACTCTCTTAGGCAATATTCACGCGTATGAAAAAAGAAGTAACAACTACGAAATATCGAATTAACCTCTAGCTTCGGTCTTGTGAGGCGAAGCGAGGAAACAACAGGAAACATCCTGGACTACGGCGATGTCGTTGACGACGACGTCAACCTCGACGATGAGACGCACGCGCGTGGAATTGGAGTTGAAAGGCCTTGGACCACGCTCCGGAGAATTCCAAAAGCTCCCGGCCAACAGCCACTTGGTGGAATTCGAAGCACAATGCCAACAACGCGGAATTACACCGCGGAACCGTAATGATAGCGGCTTAATTAGTGCCTCTCTACTTTTTCATGCATCGGACTGTCATCCCAGGTGCTACTAAACGGGGACAGGATATCATATAACGCGTTTAAGATAGAGAAAACTCAGAGTTTCCATTGTTTCTCTCGATGGTACGTAACTCGCTCGATAAGAGTGTTTATTCGAATAATCGAATAATTGTTTCGGGGATAATACGTGAACGTATCGCACTAGTGTAACTGAATTATTATTTAACGCGAAATGAGGTAAGCGTAGAGATTGAAAGAATTTCTTATGTACAGTATTTGTTTTCATTACAGTTAGAATACCAGCGTGTCAGACTTTAGAGAAGACATTTTGTACTGAATAACCACTGTTTTATGTTCATTCATAATGAATAAAAGAGGATAGTGAACATTTTATACGTATGGCTTCCCCAATTTTGTTAAATTGAAAACATGATGTTTTATGCCCATAGAAGTATGCGAGTTCTTTTTCAGAAAAATTACTGAGCGTAATTCGCGCCGGTTTTTTCCTCAAAATCATTTTGGCTCGTATACAAGGAACGCTTTGTATTCTTCCGGTATGACATAGATTTTTAACAATTACCAGACTGGTACGATATTTCGTATAATCCCGAGAACACGACGTCAAGTTTAATGCCCGATATCTCGTGCTTCAGTTCATTCTTTTCGAAATCCGCTGGTTCAGATTTTCCGTTACCAGTCCGTTTCCAACAAATCGGTAGTTTTCGAAGCATAGGTTCAACACAAATAAGAAATTATATCCAAATGAAATGTATGCAAAGCAAAACAAAACATTTACGAACTAAATAACATAACAATAAAACCGGAATAAAAAGATAAGTTAATACCGTGCACATAATTTTATAAAAATATCAACGAATTTTTCGCACAGAATAGAATATAAAATTTTAGTAACGGAAAATTATTAAATTAAAAACATGTATATAATTTTATTACATTTTATAGTTATATTTCCCCGCCGCAATACACTTAAACTAATGAAACTTAAAAGTCGGCTACGCAAATACAATCGCACATACACGTATGATAACGCGCAAGAAACAATTGCTCCGGTGTGTAAGCACAAAGTTTCCGGATTCTCGATCAAATCCGCGCTACTACAGGAGCGCAAAACTTTTCGACGCTCATGAAACTTTCGAACGTGCGATCAGCATGTATTGGTAAGTTTATAGTGGAAGGGGTGAGCTCACAGAGGATTAATCTCACATTGAGTCTGCGCGCACAGAATCCCGATAATCAAAAGCGTTGATACTCTCACAACAAGCAACGTTATATAGAGTCTAGTAAATGATCAGCTGACCTATTCCATCCCCGGAGAGAAGAGAAACGCAGTATCGCCAGGATATTCGCGACGAATTACGCAGATTAGAGAACGATTCTTCTCTTTTTATCTATCAATACGAAAGTCTACCAGTCTGCGGCGATAGATCAGAGTCGAACCGATAAACGATCGTGAAATCATTTAACAAACGAATCTGCATAGACAGCTTCGAATTAGCGCGCAAAAGTTCAAATAGTTCCTTACAGTTCAAGCGAGGAACTATATTTCCAAAACGACTCGAATATTTTATGTTTAAATAAACAGTTACACCTGTTTAATCACAGCAATAATAACTATACATACGTGATTTATTTGTTGAAAATTAAGCCTCACGATCCAGTAATCCTGACCAGTCAGAAACACTTTTGAATCATGATATCAGCGTGTCCATCGTTGGTCAGTCGAATTCAGCACGAACACCAACGTAAACAAACGGTTCATGATGCCACCGTACGATTCACGAATGAACATAGTAAAAAAAGCAGAAATGTCCCTGTTTCACGTTTCTTTATTATCTTGTGTCACATGTTTCCTTAAGTTACGCACATGGTCCTGCTTGGAGAAGAAAGATCGGCCTGATAAGAAGCCTGATCGTGGTGACCACATCTCGTGTCCTGTACCACTTTGCTCATCCCACTGTCACCGTAACACGCGGCACGTTTATCGCTGGCACGCGTCCGGCGTTACCGACGGAGTAAACTCGTTACTAGGTTAGAATTCGGTGAAAAGGGATCTCCGTGAGCGCACGCTACTAGAAAGCGGTCTCGCTTCTCCCCTCCCTCGGTACAGACTTTCCCCCCCTCTTTCTCCCCGCATCGCTCGTAGTTTCCAGGATCTCGGGAAAACTTTGCTGGAAAGCGGCAGGCGGCACGAGCCGAGTGGGGGTTGACAGATACGTACACCCCATCCAGAGTTTGAGTAGGGGAAACAGTTCTCCCTCTCCAGCCCCCTTTGTCTCTGTGTGTAAGCATGAACGCGGTAAATAAAAAAGTTTCAAGTCACTCGCGAATTCGTCGGCCAGCAATGCGCAGGAACCAAGATGGCGCATTACTTCGCAAAAGTTTCTTGCTACACCTACGAATTCCAGAACAGCGATCACCGGCAAAAGAAAAGGTATTTACTCTTGAGCAACTTAGCCGCGCAACAAGAAAAAATGATTACGCGCTTATGGCTTAGCTCTGATACTCAATTCGACGCTTTGTAAACCGTCTGCGAAACGAGTTATCAACAAATTCGCGGAAACGAAACGGTAATCAGTAGTATAGGATCGAATATGATCAGACAGGCCTGTACTCTATACTAGGAGAACAGGACGATTTAGAACGCGTAAGGAACGCGTCGAGATATTTCAAGTCGCACCCAAAATTCTTCAAATTAAAAAGGAACTTGTCCTACTGTTTTTACAAGATGTTACATTTACGTTCTCTGTTACGTACAAGGTAGTTAATATTATATAAAAAAATCTTTTATCTGCTGCGATATCTAACTTTACTATGAAATTATACTCGTATTCGCTTTCATAAGACTTAGCGACACGAGTTTCCTCTAACTTTCCACATGTAGAATAAAAGTCACGCGAACATGAGTTACACGTGGCAAACATAGAGAAGAGCGCGGCATCGTTTGAGTGGTACAGAGAGCGCGACGACCATTCAACGCGAGGAAGCGTCGAAGCGGATCGTTTTAGGCAGCAGGGACGGTGGACCCCTGAAACTTAGAAAGTGCATACTCTCGATACATGCGATGATTCCCTTCTCATCGTCAGAGGCTGTCTATTTGCGGAGGTAGTCGTACCTGGTTGCTTGCCGCCTGCCCTCGTGGGAGCCAGCTAAGGGAAATCAATATCTCACTAGAGGTAGAGAATATGAGAAAGAGAGAGATGAAGTGGCGGGAGTAGGAGTTGGCGAAGGAAAAGCAGGAGAAAGAGAAGACAGAGAGAAGATGTAGGTGGAGGTGGAGAAGTAGGAAGGGTATAAGAGGTGGAAGAAAATAGGAAGTAGGAAGGAGAAGAAGGACGCAGTTTGCGCTCCGACGACCTCGCTTGCTCGTGGTCTTCCGCGGCCGTAGTGCCACGCGTGAACTCGAATACCGCGGTAGCAGCACGCGTAACTCGTGCAAGAATCTCCCACTACTATATTCTATAGTACGCTATTACGCTGTTATTACCGGCAGCGCTCGGTCGGTCACACACGCCAGCACGGGCCGGTCCGTTCCGTCGGTAGCGCGTGCCGCGTGTGTTCTTTCGCGCTACGACAACCACCATCACACCGCGCACGCTACCTGGACAAACACGTTACCCCGCGTGTGTTACCGCGTACGCAGCCAACTCGTTCCAATCCTATCGGCCGCTTAGCGGGAACTGGAGACGAAAACCTTGCCCGCACCGCGTTGCCGTCCTCACTCCAAACTCACTCTCATTCTCCATCCCCTTTGCTCTTTCACCCCCTGAATCGCGGTCTCGCTCTTGTCCTCTTTCTACGTTCGGCTCTCTCGCTCGCGCCGCGTTCTCACACTCCGCGCGCTTCTCAGCGAAACTTTCCCGGCGTCGGGACACGCTGCCG